CTCTATGCTCCATCCCCACTATACCCCGACCCCACTGTACTGTTCTTTTAATTAGTTGAGCAAACCAATGTTCCAGACACGATAAAATGCCTGGGCGACATCTAGAAACAGTCCGGTGCAGTATTGTTTGTTTTATAACTCCGAAACAACAGTGTCGGTCAGTCGGTGTACCTAAAAGATTGTTGAATGTTTTGCTCTAAACCCAATCTGTGTGTTTAGTGTTATATAATTTTATTGAAAAATAGGTTGAATTATTTTTAGAAGCACTTTTTCGAATAGTTTACCTAACGTAGGTAGTAAACTAATAGATCTATGATTTTACCATGTTTTTGAGCTCGCCTGGTTTGGACAATCAGTTAAAAACAAAAACAATAACCTATAAATATCAAACATTTTGTATTGTCCTTTAATAATTTATAACTATCAGTAGTAGTTGATAAATAATAATGACGAGAATTAAAGTTCATAAGGTAAGAAAAACTTACAGTCAAAGTGTTATATCAGTAATTTATTAATTGAATATTATTTTTACAATTCATGTAAATTAATTTGAACAGATAAATTTGGAAATTTATTATTTCCAGTACACATAAATAAAATATTTTTATTTTTATTTACTGAGGTTGATTTATTGTGTTACTCTTTTTGCACTTTATATCCATCCACCATTATTACATAGTGCAATGTGTTGATAATAATGATCAATAGTGCCTATGTTTTGATGCTCAGCCTAAATTTGAAAATTGCATTTAGTAATCGTATTCCCATGGTCTTACAATTTCTACAACTACAATTTGACAACCAACGATCATCCCGGTATTATCCGTGTAGTATAATCGAACTTTATATGTTCCGTAAAAGAACTCTTTCGGGATATGATAATTTACCACTTCTGTTAAATCATATCCACGCACAATGTACTCACCCTGAAAAACAAATATTTGCTATTACAATATCTACTGGTGTATTTTTGGGGGTTGTTCGAAAACAAATTATTACAAATGTTTGCCTAAAAGAAATGTGAACGGATTTGGATTCAGTAAAAAACTTATATAAGACATATATTAATACTATCTTTTTGACTATCGTTGGTATACATAGGTTATTCTATGAAAACAATATAAAATAAGAAAAAAAACTTTATAATTATTTTGTTACATACTTTGTCTAGTGGACACTGTTTAGTTGCACTTGTATTCATACTTTTCATTAAATTAGACCAGGACGGTCCCAAAAATGTTTTTAAAGTTGTGCAAGCGTGTTGAGTACTATAATCGAATGCGTGGTCTACCCATCCTCCGATTTTACTAAGTACTGCCATATTTAAATTGTACTGCAAATTGTGAAATAGGAAAAAATTATTATACTTCATATGAATTTTATTTTATTTTTTTTTTTTAATACGCGTTAAAGCAATAGTAGTAAAATGTGACATTGTATGGATAGTACTTAAAATCAATACCGTACAAATCCTTATAAATATATTAAGACAAAACAATTATTCATTCGCCCAAAAACTATACTAATTGTAAGCTGTATTTCTACCGAATTATCTTATAAACATTTACCTTTAATATCCCATTATGTTTTGGTTTTTAAATTTACAGAATAATAATGTTTATGAATTACCTATTTTTTTTAGTTCTCTCTTTTACTCGTATCTTTAGAACTGGACGAACCTAAGCAGAATACTTATTATTCTCCTTTTGTCTTAATTCTTAAAATCTGAATCTACCTACAAAACTGTTTTCAATATAAAAATATTTGACATCGGAGCCACTAACAAATTTAAATATCGAAAAAAAATACAGATTGTAGAACTCTGCGTCTTCATTAAATAAAACGACAAAATTATCAAATCTGTATACACTCATAATTAAGACCAATGAAATATAATTTTAGGTTTTATAAAATACTAAACCAAAAAGTGTTACTAAACGGAGTCTGAATATTATTTTAAATATTATTCAAGTAACGCTTCTTTTTACATATCTTTCTTTACTTTAAAACAAAACCACTACACAAACATTTTTACCAGATACCATAATTTTCTATCCAATCATCCAAACATTCTGGCTAGGAACCTAGCGTTACCTAAATCGCAACGAAACCCTATAAAAAGATTAAAACAGAAGTCGTGCGGAGACCTGCCATTGTAACCTTATTTTTAAATATATTTATTATACTAAATATTGTAAATATGTAAAAGAAAGAATAGAAAAAAAATTCGTAATTAACCTAAATATCAAATTAAATAACCACATATAACGCAACGCTACATCAGACAGCACTACAACTTCATTGTTAAATGAAAATTTAAAAAAAATTGTATAGCAGTAAAAGTGATACCGAACTGAGTATTGTCCAAACTATTTTCAACGACATACTTACATTTAAGGAATCGTCAAAAGGTATTTTCAATGAAACATTTCCCCTTACTTCCACTCGGGTTTGAGAAGCTTTGTGTTGATGAACATTAAAGCTTATCAAATAGTCGACTTTTTCATCACAAATAAAAGCAGCTTTGAATTTCATTCGGAATGGTCCCTAAAATTTATTATATTGATGTTAAATAATGAAACAATGTTTTCTATATTTAATTACAAGTTTACATCCAATTACACTTACCACTGGCAAATTTGGTCGTAAAACTCTCTGCATAGTTAAGCAATTGAAATTTGGTATTAACAACAATAACCAAAGTATAAAAAAACGAGTAACCATTATTTTTTTTTCTGTAACAAACAACCAGTCTAAAACACAATTAATGTTGGAATACTTACCAGTTACTACTTGTAGTATTAATTTGCACCTGGTTTTTATAGAAAATAAAAACAATTTTCAACGATCATTTACACAGGTTAATTGGTAATAACAAAATTAACTAAAGTATAACAAAACGAGTAACCTTCATTTTTTTTAACCTACGACCACATTTGTACCACAAATCATTGTTGAATAGTACATCATTACTATTTAGTTTGCCCTTAGCGGTTGTAGGAAACAACAACAATTTTTAACATTTTTTTATGCTACTCAGGCAATACTTATTAAAGACTTAAACAGATTGCTGTAACAATAAATTATTATTTAATGCGACTTCGACCCTGGATACATAATCATTTATTTCCTTTTATTTGATTCATGCTGATAAGATGGACAGTTACCTTTTTTGTTACAACATCATCGTTACTACATGTAACAAGGTTAAAATTAAAACAAAAACAATTTTTATTTAAAATTAACATTTGTAACATTATGAATATTTTTTATAATTCTGTGTACTTGAAAATAATTTGATTAATAATCAGTAAATAAAAGTGAAAATCAGTTAGGTTAGGTAAGGCTTAAACAGTTTCAAATAAACACAACAAACAATAAAATATGAAAGTTCTGTACTGGTCTAAATTTTTTTTTTGTTACGTCGAAATTTATCAACTGGAACATATAAGTTAAAAAAAAATTTTGTTTCTATTTATACTATTAATACATTTTCATTTTAATTACTGGGGTTGTATGACTCTGTTGTTACTGGTGTATTTTTGGTAAGTGTTCGAAAACAAATAATTATAAATTTTTGCGAAATTAAACTGTTTAGTTTTGAGACATGTTCTCTTTAAAATATCTATTAAAACCCTTATTTTCTTCAAATTGAACTTAATTATTACTGACGAATAATTAAAAATGTTTGTTTTTATCTGCCTTCGGTATACAGATATTATTCTATAAAATAAATACTTGATATTAATTTTGTTTCACACTTTGTCTATTGGACACGGTTTAGTTGCACTTATATTCCAACCTAAAATATAATTACGACATAACTACAACACAACGAGAAATATTCATTTTTATTATAACAGACAATCAGCTATAAACGCAGAAACAAGGTAGGTTTAGTAAATGCTTACTACTTATAGCGAATTATTTTGCCCTCGAGTTACAGATATTCTATAATATTATTACACAATTGGAATGTTACCGACACTAATACCTATAGTTAAAAACAATACAAATAAAAAAAAAAAATCGAATTTATTTATTTATTAAATGGGACATCCCATAAGGGTATAAATACAGTTACATATGTACAAATTAAAAATTAAAAACATAATATGTTAGCTTAAAAAGCGGATCGAAACAAAAATCCTAATTACTATACAAATTACAACTATTTATGATGCGGCACTCCAGATAATACAGAGATTTGATTGGAAAAGGGGGGGGGACAAACGTTAGATTATTTCTCGTTTGAAAACAGGAACTTTAAATTTATTTTTTTCTAGGAATTCAGGGCACTCAATGTCGCCTTTCATTAGTTACGTGACAAATTCCACGTCTAAATGAATCAAACGAAAGGAAATAAATTAATATGTATACAGGGTCGAAGTCGCAAATAAAAATAATATTTTGTTGCAGCAATCTAAACAGAATTCCTCAATAAGTATTGCCTGAACGGTATAAAAGAGTGTTAGAAATTGTTTTTGTTTCCTAGAACCGCTAAGGGCAAATTAAATAGTAATGATGTACTTAATTCATAAATTATTTGTGTTACAATTAATGTAGGTGGTGTTCCACGAAAAAAAAATGAAGGTTACTCGTTTTGTTATACTTTAGTTAATTTTGTTACTATCAATTTAATTGTGTAAATGACCGTTGAAAATTGTTTTTATTTTCTATAAAAACCAGGTGCAAATTATAAGTAGCTGCCATTGCAACATTTTTTGATTTCTAAACTGGTCGTCTGTTACAGAAAAAAATGAAGGTTACTCGTTATGTTATATTTTGGTTATTGTTGTTGATACCAAATTTCCATTGCTTTACCATGCAGCGAGTTTTACGACCAAATTTGCCAGTAGTAAGTGTATTCGGATGTAAACTTGTAATTAAATATATAAAACACTGTTTCATTGTTTAACATCAATATAATACATTTTAGGGACCATTCCGAATGAAATTCAAAGCTGCTTTTATTTGTGATGAAAAAGTCGACTATTTGATAAGCTATAATATTCATCAGCATAAAGTTTCTCAGACCCGTGTGGAAATGAGAGGAAATGTTTCAATGAAAATACCCTTTGACGATTCCTTAAACGTAAGTATATCGTTGTAATAAATAATACTGTTTTCGGTAACCTTTTTTAGTTTTTATTTGTAATATACTGGTATGGTTGATGTAATTCTTTAGAAATATGTACATTAGGTTAGGTTTATTTCACTGGAATAAAATATTACTGCAAACAGCACGATTCTTGATATTCTAATATCGAGTAAAATGAAATACAATTTGGTAGAAACTTATTTTTGCGCTTTAGCTTATTAATTGCATCCTTTTAAAAATATTTACTGCGATTTTAAATATATTTCATTAAAGTAGTATAAATTTTATTATCAATTTTTATTTTATCATTTATATTAAAATTGTTACTATTTGAAAACAATGAAGTCGCAGTGTTCTCTGCTGCAGCTAAGCGTTGTGTTTTTAGAGTGGCAATTATTTTTTTATTACTTGAGTCTAAACTATATAGGTTGAAAGGCTGTCTTTCCGATACTTCTTTTAATTTATAAGCCAAAGTACGATCTACTCATTTTATTAAAACGTTGAATAAAATTGTTATTATTTGAAAAAAAATAAAGTAGATTTATTTTACACAAGCTGTCCGGACCAAGCGTTGCCCGAGATTTAGTCTGCCAGGGCTGAGTAAATTAATTCCCATTCCCCCATAACCACCCTCATCCCCACCCCACCCCTCATCTTTAATCTCTTGTCTCTTATCAGATAACAGCGTGACAGCGTTCTTGTGACACTTTTTTCGGTTAGGTGGTTAGGTTAGGTTAGGTCCTCCTTTTAAGGGTCCCAGTCCCGGTTCCAGTCTTAGTCCCAGATCCCGTTCCAACAGTTAAAAGTTTGCCCAGAATCGTGGTACATAAATTCGACTGTTCTTTTAATCATCACCCACCATTCGCTCGAGTACCGTGGTTACCATGGTTACAAGCATATAATTTATTTACATTTTGTATTTAAAGTACAAAGTTCGTGTTTGAGGCCATCTTTTGGGGTGGAATTTTCGAAAAGTACCATGCCAGTTAGGTTCACGGGAGTGTGCTCAACAACTTAACTGAAGAAAAAAAAGCCTGAAAATGTGTCCCTTTTTTTGAGTGGGGGGGTTGTAAAAAAAATAAAGGTTTACTACAGATTATTAAGATAATTGAATCTAGTTTTTTGACATTTTTGTGTTTTTGCTTTGGCACAAAAACGGAAAAATTGTCACCAGTTATCATAACGAAAAAATTAGCTGATTTATCTGATCAGATAAGAGAGATAAGGGATGGGAATGGGGGTGGGAATAGGGGGAATGGGATGAGGCTGAGGTCAAGGATGAGGCTAAGGTCAAGGATGAGGTCGAGGTCGAGGATGAGAATGAGAATAAGGTTGGAATAGGGATGGGGATGGGGAGGGGGATGTTAATATTTTTAATTATGTGTTGTTTTCATAACGAACAAACTTAAATAAATAGTTAATGAATTGATTCAAAGTAACTAGCCAAGTGAACGTTTTGCCAATAAATCGATTAACGCCAATTATTAAAAAACTACTGAAAAACTTTTGGCCACAACATAAAATTAATCATCACCTACCATTCGAGTACCGTGTTTACCATTGTCACAAACCAAGTGTTTATTTTGGGTTAGCAACGAAAATATTTCGAATGGCATCAAGCACTGAACTAAATATATGGAACGCGTATTCAGATTGAAAAATGACCGCACCTGGGAGGCAGCGATTTTGTGTACATTTTTATAGGAAGAAAAAATTATACGTCATTTTTCCATGGTGTGTCTTCAAATGTTAGGTTAGGTGATGATAATTTTATCTTTTTTGTGATAACACCGTCATATAATATAGATATATGTATGATAAAACAATAAATATCATGGACAAAACAATAAAAGTACACAAAATGGTAGCCTCCTACCCGGGGACATTTTCATAAGCAGCCGACTATGGGCAATACGCGTTCCCATGGTGGGAAACATTCAAAAATGTATCCCATGGTGGGATATATTTTTGAATAATATGGTTGAATAATAAAATTCAATCAAACATAACCAGTCATTACTTAAAGTTAGTCACTTTTTCACTACTATTGCTTTAACGCATACAAAAAAAAAAAAATAATTTGTTTGTATTACACAAATTACAGTTTAATATTAATATGGCAGTATTAAGTAAAATCGGAGGATGGGTTGACCACGCATTCGATTACAGTGCTCAACACGCTTGCACAACTTTAAAATCATTTATGGCGCAGTCCTGGTCTAATTTTATGATAAGTATGAATATAAGTGCAACTAAACATTGTCCATTGGAAAAAGTATGTGACAAAATTAATATCAAGTTATAATTTATATAATATAGCTTACTTAGAATACTATATGTATACCAAAGGCAGGCGAAAACAAACATTTTTGATTAGTAGTCAGGTGTAATCAATTACAAATTATGCAAAATATAATTAATAAAATACTAGATACGACTTTTTCTGAATCAAAAATAATTTGTTTTCGAACAACCTTCTAAAATACACCAGTAGATATTTTAATAGCAAATTTTGTTTTCCAGGGTGAGTATATTATGCATGGATATGATTTAACAGAAGTGGTAAATTATCATGTCCCGAAAGAGTTCTTTTACGGAACATATAAAGCTCGAATATACTACACGGATAAAACCGGGATGATCGTCGGCTGTTTAACTTATGTTATGGAGTTTGTAAGACCATGGGAATACAATTACTAAATGCAATTTTAACATTTAGGCTTAGCATCAAAACATAGACATTATTGATCATTATTATCAACACATTGCACTCTGTAATAATGGTGGATAGATATAAAGTGCAAAAAGGGTAACACAATAAATCAACCTCAGTAAATAAAAATAAAAATATTTTATTTATGTGTACTGGAAATAATAAATTTCCAAATTGATCTGTTCAAATCAATTTACATGAATTGTAAAAAATAATATTCAATTAATAAATTACTAATATAACATTTTTGACTGTTAATTTTGCTTACCTTATGAACTTCAATTCATCTTTCTAAGGGGATTATTATTTATAATAGTTACAAATTGTTAAAGAACAATACAAAATGTTTTTTCAACTGTTTGCAATTATTTAATACTATTGAGTAATTTTTTAACTCAAATAATGTTTTAGAAAAAATAATATTTCTAAGAGCTCACATTGTCGTATCGGGATTTAGAAATTATAATCCCATGTTGAAGGTACTTAAACCAATGATTTAGCACAAAACAAATTAAATGTTAGAATATTAGTGTGTTGTTCTTGAAATACCTGAGTATTGTTTTGAGGTAGCTGAATTAATTAAAATCATTACATTTTTGTATAAGAGGATGAACCCAGAACCATTGAACGCCTACTTTTAAATGCGTTCATTTATAACTTTTTTAGTTATATATCACATAATATAAACAATACAGTAATGTAAATAATTCATAAAACCGAGAATAGCCAATGAAACAATGCGTTATATACAGGGTTACTCATTAGGGATAATCTAATTGTGTAAAAAAAAATAACTATAATATTTTATTACTAAGTCATTTGATTATTTTTGTTCTTAATTATCTTTTTTTAAGGCTATTCTTGCAAACATTTTTCTTACCTTATGAACTCTCATTTACGTCCTCTTCCTAAGGGAAGTATTATTTATCAGTAAATTTTGATAGTTACAAATAATTTTAGGCCAACACAGAACTTTCATATTTCATTGTTTTCAGTGTTTATTTGAAACTGTTTGGACCTTACCTAACCTAACTGGACCTAACTTGTATTTACTGATTAGTAATCATATTATATGCATGTGCCCAGAGCTAGAATGAATATATCCATAATGTTATAAATATTAGTTTTAGTTTAAAAAATGTTTATTTTTTATTTTAACCTTGCTACATATAGTAACGATAATGATTTAACAAATGTAACAATAGACGAAACTTCTTTTGGGAAAGTTCCTAAGAAAAAAACCCGCCAAAGAGCAATCGATGGCAAACAAAGAACCAGAGAAAACGAATAGTTAGTGTTCTGGGGTAAAAGCTTCTTTTATTGTTTTGTCCATGATATTTATTGTTTTATCATACATATATATATGTATGATTTCTTCAATTATTCAATATTAGTTATTCTGCATTGTGCTAATTTTAATTTTTTAGTTTGTCAACTTGTAGCTCTGATTTTGTATAAAACATTTCATTATTATAAATAAAAGTGATAAAATTGAATAAAACCATTTTCAAATAAAAGCTTTGATGGGTTTTTGTAAATACAGCGACTCGATGTAATACTTTCTTACTTTGCTGGCTTCACTGTGCTTAGTTTGGACTGTACTGGCTTGAAAATACTAACTCCTGATTTTAATCGAAGCGTTTATTCAAAAGTGATTTTATCACTTTCAGATTTAAAAATACCTGTAAACCAGTAACCTCCCCGTCCCCACTGTACTGTTTTTGTTTAATATGTAGAGCAAACCAATGTGCCAGACACGATAAATAGCCTGGGCGACATCTAGAAACAGTCTGGTGCAGTATTGCTTGTTTTCTAAATTTGAGGCAATAGTGTCGGTCAGCCAGTGTACCTAATAGATTGTTAAGTGTTTTGCTCTAAAACCAAATTGGGTGTTCTGTATTATATTATTTTCTTCAATAATAGGCTAAATTCTTCTTAGAAAAAGTTTTTAGAATAGTTTACCTAACGTAGGTAGTAAAATAATAGATCTATGAGTTTACCATGTTTTTAAGCTCGCCTGGTTTGGGCAATCAGTTAAAAACAAAAACAATAACCTATAAATATCAAACATTTTGTATTGTCCTTTAACAATTTATAACTATCAGTAGTAGTTGATAAATAATAATGACGAGAATTAAAGTTCATAAGGTAAGCAAAACTTACAGTCAAAGTGTTATATCAGTAATTTATTAATTGAACAGTATTTTTACAATTCATGTAAATTAATTTGAACAGATAAATTTGGAAATTTATTATTTCCAGTACACATACATAAAATATTTTTATTTTTATTTACTGAGGTTGATTTATTGTGTTACTCTTTTTGCACTTTATATCTAAATACAGCGACTCGATGTAATACTTTCTTACTTTGCTGGCTTCACTGTGCTTAGTTTGGACTGTACTGGCTTGAAAATACTAACTCCTGATTTTAATCGAAGCGTTTATTCAAAAGTGATTTAATCACTTTCAGATTTAAAAATACCTGTAAACCAGTAACCTCCCCGTCCCCACTGTACTGTTTTTGTTTAATATGTAGAGCAAACCAATGTGCCAGACACGATAAATAGCCTGGGCGACATCTAGAAACAGTCTGGTGCAGTATTGCTTGTTTTCTAAATTTGAGGCAATAGTGTCGGTCAGCCAGTGTACCTAATAGATTGTTAAGTGTTTTGCTCTAAAACCAAATTGGGTGTTCTGTATTATATTATTTTCTTCAATAATAGGCTAAATTCTTCTTAGAAAAAGTTTTTAGAATAGTTTACCTAACGTAGGTAGTAAAATAATAGATCTATGAGTTTACCATGTTTTTAAGCTCGCCTGGTTTGGGCAATCAGTTAAAAACAAAAACAATAACCTATAAATATCAAACATTTTGTATTGTCCTTTAATAATTTATAACTATCAGTAGTAGTTGATAAATAATAATGACGAGAATTAAAGTTCATAAGGTAAGCAAAACTTACAGTCAAAGTGTTATATCAGTAATTTATTAATTGAACAGTATTTTTACAATTCATGTAAATTAATTTGAACAGATAAATTTGGAAATTTATTATTTCCAGTACACATACATAAAATATTTTTATTTTTATTTACTGAGGTTGATTTATTGTGTTACTCTTTTTGCACTTTATATCTATCCACTATTATTAAAGAGTGCAATGTGTTGATAATAATGATTAATAGTGCCTATGTTTTGATGCTCAGCCTAAATTTTAAAATTGCATTCAGTAGTTTTATTCCCATGGTCTTACAATTTCTACAACTACAATTTGACAACCGACGATCATCCCGGTATTATCCGTGTAGTATAATCGAGCTTTATATGTTCCGTAAAAGAACTCTTTCGGGACATGATAATTTACCACTTCCGTTAAATCATATCCACGCATAATGTACTCACCCTGCAAAACAAAATTTGCTATTAAAATATCTACTGGTGTATTTTAGAGGGTTGTTCGAAAACAAATTATTACAAATGTTTGCCTAAAAGAAATGTGAGCGGATTTGGATTCAGTAAAAAACTTATATAAGACATATATTAATTCTATTTTTTTGACTATCGTTGGTATACATAGGTTATTCTATGAAAACAATATAAAATAAGAAAAAAAACTTAATAATTATTTTGTTACATACTTTGTCTAGTGGACACTGTTTAGTTGCACTTATATTCATACTTCTCATATAAGTAGACCAGGACGGTCCCAAAAATGTTTTTAAAGTTGTGCAAGCGTGTTGAGTACTATAATCGAATGCGTGGTCAACCCATCCTCCGATTTTTCCAAATACTGCCATATTAATATTAAACTGTAATTTAAAATAAAATAAGTCATAAACTCTTACACACGGGAATAGTAGACACTTTTGATTAAATTTGCTTTTTTAGGGTTGGAATTTTTGATTAGATGTTTAAGTCTAAGAATTAAACTAAAGGTAGCCTCATAGTGGCGCAGTAACTTATAAATTTCTTTAAACATTTTTGGTTAATATTTTTTTTTATCAACGGTAACCCCCAAAAAATAGGTCAAGTTATATACTTAGTACCAATGTTTTTAATATAATAGATATTTGACATATTTTTCTTAACCGACAAATAAGTGATACATTTATAGGTTTCTATTACGTTTCAGTTAACATTCATCTGGTGTCTTAAAACTATTTGTATTGTGTTGTTGATTTGCCTATCAATAACAACGCAACTATTTATTTGGATAAATAGCCTTTCCCCCTATATCGTTTACACCCAAGTAATAAAAGTATAATTGCCACCCTAAGAACATAACGCTTCGGCTTCATTGATTCCAAATAGTAACAATTTTAATGAAAAAGTATTTTAATTAAATATAGTACTAATCCCTATAAATATTTTTAAAGTATGCATTTAATAAGCTAAAGCGCAAAAATGCAGTTCTACCGAATTATATGTCATCTTACTCAATTTGAATTTCAATAATAGTGCTGTGTGCAGTAATATTTTATTCTAGTAAAATACACCTAACCTAATGTATTTTATATCTAGAGATTAACATCGACCATACCACAAATAAAGACCAAAACATCATATCAAATAGAGTATTAAGTAAACCATTTTCAACGATCTACTTACGTTTAAGGAGTCGTCAAAGGGTATTTTCATTGAAACATTTCCTCTCATTTCCACTCGGGTTTGAGAAGATTTGTGTTGATGAACATTAAAGCTTATTAAATAGTCGACTTTTTTATCGCAAATAAAAACAGCTTTCAGTTTTATTCGGAAGGGACCCTAAAATTTTGTATATTGATGTATAATAATGAAATAATGTTTTATATATTTAATTACAAGTTAACATACGAATACACTTACTACTGGCAAATTTGGTCGTAAGACTCTCTGCATTGTCAGGCTATAGTAATTTGGTAATAACAACAATAACCAAAGTATAACAAAACAAGGAATATTCATTTTTACTGTAACAGAAAACAACCAGCTTAAAAATAAAACAATGTACGTATAGTAAATACTTACTACTTATATAGAGTTATTTTGCCCTCAAGTTCCAGGAAATATATACAACTCTAACATATTTTTACGCAATTGGAAT